TGCAGCATTCTCCCTATTCAAATTCTTCATCCTGATGAAGGTCCTTGTCCGAATAAAGCAAAGAATGACTTCCTTGGACATTTCTGGGTACTTCTCCAATTCAGATGTTAAATCGTTGATCACGTTTTTCCCTCTCCGAATATCATCCCCATGGTGTGCCGAAAACTCCTGTTCCAAAATCGTGGCATTCCTAAGCCATGTTGGGGAGGGTTCCATCAGGCCACCACAACTGATTCTTTGAATCCAGGAATTACTTTCTGGGTCGTGAACTGGACAAGAGCCTAAACCTGGAACTTTCGCGGCAAGTTTGAATGCTACATATCCTGCCACATACTTGCACGCTTGATCCTCTTGTTTCAATTCCCCTATGGGATCTGGCAGGTCAGAAGCTGGTATACCTTCCCGAAAGGATTGCTCATTTTCTTCCGCCTTCAGGCATGTTTCTGGGTTATTCTGTTCTTCCACTGCATGCGAAGACAACTCGTCTGAGCGAATGTTAATCAGGAGACTTGCATCATCGCCTTGAACATTGCAATACCTTGGTAGATGCAGACTCTGGCCAGCGCTCAGAAGCAAGGACCTTATTCTGAATTTGGCTGATATGGGTGTGGGGCATGTATCAAACCTGCCTGCTGCTCTGATTTGGCTGAAAAAGTTTTCTAGGCAATCTTGATTCAGGCGTGATGTCAGAATGTAGCACTGGGAATACATCTCGAAAAGATAGGTCATCTTTGGTCATCATTACATCAAACTGAAAATAAATTGGCTGCTTCCAGCTCTGAAAGATCCCTCTTGCCATGACCATCATCAACTGATTGTGAGGTCCATACATTGCATCTGTCTTGGCATCGTAGCAAATCTGGGAATCAATCTTCATCTCATCATAAGACAAGCAACAAATGTGATCTTTTTCCGGCATGACTTCAGCGTGGTACTGCATTAATCGAAGTATATCAACCAAGATTCCAGGCTCGCTGGATAGATTACTTGACCACATCCTCAAACGGGATGACGATGGCAAAGGTAACCCAAGATTTTGCCTCGCATATTCATAACCTTTGCTAGACATGATTTTCAGAGGGATTGCTCTGGTATAGTCAAGACTTGACCATTTTCCAGGGCGTGATTTCCCAGCCTTGATGACATTCAGCTGGGTTTCAGTGAAGATTTTCCTCAAAGCAGATGGATCCATTTTGCTGCACTTCTGTTTCAATTCCCGAATCATCTTGTTCTTACTCTTCAGCATATGATTGTACAGATGTGTCTTTTGCCGTAACTTCGCCCTAGCATTTTCGAGCTTCTTCCGAAGAACCCGGACCTCTTTGCAGCATTGCTTTTCATGTTCAGTTTCTCGGAAGTTTGTATTTCCCTTTCAGTCTTCGAAGAAACTTCTGACAAAGTCACTAGCAAGTGCTGTAGTTGACTGATCGATTCCAGGACTGATTTTCCTATCAGAAGTATGTGGACTTGCAGTGGGCCGAGAAGCTGGAACTGTGGTTTCAATGTTTGTGCAACTATTATCTTTGGCGATTCCTGGGGGACATAGAATGGTCTGACCGGAACGGTTCACTGACTCTAAAGAATGTGTGTGCTCATGTCCTCCTTTGAGAATGGGTACAGAATCTCTTACTAGGTACCTTTTCTGATCCAGAAATCTTCCACGATAGCAATCGTCTGCAAAATGAAGTGAACAGGCGTATGCTGTTTTGGGTACAGCAGATAAACCCAAGGCTTTCAGCCATTTTGATTTTGCTTCCTCTTCTGTGGGAAAGACATAAAATGAAAGCTTCTTAGCTCTACTGTTCTGATACGTTGAGCTACAAGATGGAAGGATGCACGTTTTCCCACTGCTTCTGTTGATAGTAAAGCGGAAACCAAGCAAATAAAGGTGTAGGAGATCAGAAAGAGAGGGTATGGGAAAACTTTCAATAGGAGAATCAAAGATTGAGTATTTCCATATGGTGCAGGAAAACTATCCGCTGAAGGTATGGAAACACAAGCTACCGACATCCTTCCTTGGCAGTTGGAGTCAGAGTGAGGGAGGATGGCAGTGAAGTTTCCTTTTATACACACCGTTGTGACGTCATTGGGAAGCCCCGCCCATTGCGCGCATTATTCATGAGCTTCGGTCGAGCAGGGCCTGGCATTACCCCCAATTCCTCTTTCTGACGTAGTCACTGGTGGAGCTTTTTGGCAGTTGAAGGCGCATTAGGTGACGCATTGCGAAATGTCGCCCAGTGCTCATGCCGGTAGTCACACAACGTAAGAATGGAAACTTTCTTAAATCCATTGAAATTGGTATATATTAATACAGCGGTGAAAATAATCAGGGGTTCTTTAGGAGAAAAGTAGATATTCATATTTTAATAAGTAAGCAGCATATCTATTAATAGAAATCATGGTGTATACTGCGCGAGTATTGCGGGTTTGTATAGATATATATATAGGGCGATTAAAAAAAGCCCTACAGTTTCCTATGGGAGAAAGTAATATTCGTATATTCAAGCAAAAATGATGAGATAGATAAGCTCTTGACATTGGACAAACACAAGGTGTCGAGGTGATTGTTTTTTCTTCCAAAAAAAATTCCCTGAGCCATGCATTGTCCCGTTACAAAGTTTACAGGTGGATCATCATACCTTAAATGCAGTAATGGTCTGTAGCTCCATCATCTCAAAATTCAATGAAAGTATGATAGTTTGCCCGATTTTGCCCCTTTAACCTACTTTAATGATGAGTACATATTTCGAAAGGATGCTCTTAGGCACACCTAAACAAATTGTTTCTTCACATCTAATCAACATCTGAGCAAAAAATTATGACCAAACCAAGTCGGACGGTTACAAGTTACCATCCAATTCTCATTGACCATATCTTTTGAAAGGGCTTTCAGATGCAATTGATATTTGGCGCAGAGGCTCATGGACCTGTTTTTTCTTTCCTACCCAAAAAGTGTCATCGAACGCAGATAGGGGGACTGCCGTTGACTACAGTGCCATCTAGCGGTATGTGAAAGAGCGTCTTAGATTTATGAACCTCTCTATTAAGTATCAGCTGCATCCAACCGTCCCTTGAAAAGTTATGATCAATCAAATTAAGGTGGTGATTTTATAATAACCGTGGTTAGGAAGTTAGCAACTGGGGGTTGGGGGCCATGTTGCGCCCCCATCACCAAATTAAAACTCACTTTTCTAGGCCTCCATTTGGAGTACAGACCTGGGTGTTTTGCCTGTTAGCTATTCTCAAAATAATCCGACCGTTTGCCAATTGATTTCTGAGGTGGTCGAGTACGGATCATTACCATTAAGGTGGGATGATTCACCTCTACACACCTTTAATTCACCTCTGAATGGGCATTGCATGACTTAGGCAAAGGTGCTGAAAAAACTTGACATGCACCTCAACACCTTGTAACTGTCCAATGTCGATCGCACAGCCAATGTACATTTTTTTGCATTTATGATGTGTTTCTCCCATAGAAAACATTAGGGTTTTTATGTATTTTAAATCACCCTATATAGAGTGGGGCAAAAGTCGCTATACAATTTTTAAATATAGGCATGGTTTGATTTCTAACGTCATATTGACCGTTGTTTACAACAAAAACACAAATAACACAGAAAAATAGTCGTGCATTGTAATTTGAAATACTACCAGTATTACTCTGAAACAATGAGAACCAAATAAGCAAAACAGCTATTTTCAGTATACAAGAACTGTACAGGGTGTCCCGTAAGTCACTATACCATTTCAAACTGCAATATTTTCCAAAACGAAACATGCAGGTCACTGTTAGTATTAATGGAAAGAAAATCTTAAGATTTTTTTCGCGATTATGACTCAGAATCAGACTCAAACGGAAATAGCTTCAATTGCATATTATAAAGGTGTACTTGTTTAGGGACATTTTGGTACACCCCGTTGAATCCCCTTCTACAAAATTGCAAAAACTTTGTTTTTCTCTCCTAACTTCAGATAGACTTGAGAAGCATAAAAAAAATTTCATATAATTTGGTTTTACTGTCATGAGAAAAGGCTACGCAATTGACACTGGAGCAACAAGTATGGAGGTCTTTGAGAGTCCCATCAGAGTTCAAAGTGAGTTTTGGGGATTTTTTGGTGCTGAGCCTCATGCCAAATGTATTGATATGAACGGAGGACATTTTGAGGCACTTTCAGAACTCAGAAATACCTCCTTTTTTTTTTTTTTTTTTTTACAAAGATAATCCCAAATGACATTATCGTTCAGTTAATGTTACATCTTTATTGCATCTGTTTAGTAAACGTGATTTTTTGAAATGGTATAGTGACACTATATATGGGACACTGTATAGCAACTTTTGCCCCACTCTCTATATATATATTCTAGCCTTAGCCTTTTATCTTGGATAGTAAAAAGTCAAGCTTAATATCTGAAAGATTATGAGTGCTCGGTGCTCAGTAATAAAAAAAAAAGTTCGAGAAGTATGACAGATGCATACTTGGTATGATTTGTAGGCTCTGCCTCATCTGGAAGATGAGAAATACAACGCAAACACTTCAGCGCGTTTCTTTATATGACACGCGGTAACCGAGGTAACGTCCCTTTGCATTTTGATTCTCCGATGTCCCCAATGGCCTTTTACGCCTCTGGTTCTTTCCCTCTGCCTTCTTTATCTACACCTAAGTGAATTTTTGCTGGCTCAACACATCTTAGTAATATATACCAACTGTCCTGCTTCAAATGCAGGTCTATTCTTTCTTTTATTGCATTTCAATACTATATGAGTGCATATGTTTATTTGCACTTTTAGCAATATATTGCAATTGAATAGCAACTTGTTGCATCAAGAAATAAAATTTTCATTGCTTCAGGCAAATTTTACAACTCCCAGTAGTAAAAAGCTCTCCAGGATTTTAGAGAGACAGAAGATAAAAAGCAAAAAACATAATCCAAAAAGGAAAGACAAAGAATGTAGCTACACACAGCTTATCTTCCATATCAATAATCACAAAGTTTAGTTGGGAAGAAGTTGAGGACACGTGTTCCTTGGTTTCAAGTGAAGAAGTTGGAGGGAAGAGAAGACTGGCAGCACCTGAGGGAGTTTACTGAGCTTGATGATCGTTCCCAAGGGTTGATTTGAGGGATTGCATCACAGGTACCTGGATCGCCCCATTTTGAGGAAATGCCTCCTTGGCAATCTCTGCTTGAATTGGAGGCTGATCACCCAATAAGTGCTTCTTCTCCCTAGAAAAGATGCTCATATCAAATCGTTTGAAAAAAAAAACTCACAGAGCAGGATAAGATCTCATGTGCTCAGCCTTCAAAGCCAATGGGAATATTTATCTTATCAGCATTAGAGGAGATGTGGAGGTATTTGCAAAATAGATCATTCCTTCAGTTACTAAAGCCAATCAGGACTCCGTTGAATAAGCAGCACTTCATGCTCACTTTAAAATTTAGAGTTAAGCTAGAGTTCAGTACTTTCACTTTTTTTTCTTCTCATGAACTGTATTACTGGGTTTGAATCCACTGAAACGAGAAATGTCTTTGCACATTTGAGGTACTCAATGGCTAACAATACCATTGTTCTTGTAAGTAAATGAATGAAGTACAGTATGTACATCGTAAATGTATGACATTAACATAATAAATTGGTGAATTACAAAAAGACACTGAAAAACGTAGGGAGGCAAGGAAGAACCCAAAATATGGGTATTTATAGTCCAGTTTTATTATAATTTACCTAACTCCATATCATAAATGGAACAAATTTGAGGGGATTATGACATAGCACCAAATGTCTTCTATTCATTCTCACATATTCAGGTGCTAAATGCACTTGTAAGCCTGTCCCCTTCATCTTTAAACATGTCAAGTAAATCTGATACTGAACTGGATGGTGGACATTTTCAACACATTCCCTAGCAATTCTGAAGTACTGTGCAACACATGTATACCATCTGCATTTTTTCTACATATTAAGACATATTACAATAAAACTGAGCAATGTAAGATGGAACAATGTTTTATCAAATTTCTCAAGATCAGATTAAACCATAACTGTGGGGGAGGGAGGAAACTGTTCCTTCTCCAGCATCCAGATTTTTCAATTTTCCATTTTTTCCCACCACATAATCTTCTCATGATTCCAGGCAGTGAATGAGCAACAGCCAGCAATATAAAAAAATCTTATCAAATTCTACTCTCTAGTTCTAGTCCTTTGAATGAAGAGGTGACAATGCAAGGGGGCTTCTTAATTGCATTTAAATAATTTTTGCTTATTTGGAGCCCAATATTTAAGGTTAAGAAGCAGATAAAAACCACATGTGAAATTACTTCTCAACTCAAGCTCCTCCCTAATCAGAATTACCAATGAATGTTATAATATGAAACTCTAAATTGGCAACACAATAGTTGGTTCAAGAGCAACATCAATTGCATCACTCAAATCCTTCATAGTTGCCAAGATTCTTATTCTATGAATAAACATTCATCCATCCAGCCCTGCAACCACCATGTTGGAACCAATTTTCCTGTAACAGCTTGAATGCAGTATGAAAATAAAATTCACTTGAATGCAACTCAGTCCTAGGAACTCACCTAATGCGCTCATTCAGACGATGAAGTTCGTTTTGCAAGCTCTCCACCTGTTTCTGAAGAACAGTTGCTTTCTCTTGCTAGAGGGAAAAATAGGAAGGAAAAACATGATAGCAACTGTTAACTGCATCAGTTACATTGTCTGTACTGGACTGACTCAGCCAGTTTCACAACACCATTTTTAAGGGAAATATGCAAGACTGAAGAAAAGACTAACCTCCAAAGGGAAGCAAGTTGGACCAAGCCTGATAGTTTCATCTCTGCCTTGAACTATACTGCTGTCCAACTCCTGTGCAAAGAAGGAATCAATGTGACTATTGCCAACACCACACATCATGCAAATATGCTGATTGGGTCTGCCCTTTCTTTACCTGTTTCCCAAATTCTTGCAATGCTTGCTTGAGCCTAGCACACTCCTTTGACATCTTTTTCCTCTCAGCCTCAAGAGAACGTTTGGTCCTCTCCTCATTTTCCAATTTTTGATAGTTTTCCAGTAGCTTCAGCCTCTGGCTCTCATAGTCTTGCTTCAGCTGGTTCACCTGAAAATTTAAAATCCAAATAAATAAAATTTAAAACTTCACATGGATACTTAAAAGACATGGAAAAACTGTCTCATGCTTACTTGTTTCTTGATGTGAATAGCAAAGGCCTTGGCCCTGGCAATTCCACTCAGAGTTCCTGGTTCAATCGGACATTGGGACAGAGAGCCTTTCCCAGCTGTCACACATGCCCACATGTCCTTTAGGAGATCTTCTATCACTATCATCACTTGAATACACTCATTCTCTTTTTCAGGGCCCTCTGTGAGCACAGTCAGCCGTTGAACCAATTCATTGATCCTCCTATCCTTCTTTCTCATCTCAACTTGCCACTTCTGAGATTCAGACTTGAGATCAGAGTAAAGCTCATTCAGCTTCAATATTTCAGCTTCATAAGTCTGTTCTCGCTTGTCTGCTTCCAGACTTGCTCTATCAATCTTGTTGAATGCCCTCACCAGACGTCGCATCTGCACAATAGTCATATGATCTCTTTTTTTTGCTCAATACACAATAAATGACATAAAATATGGGAATTGAAAATTAATTTTTCACATGAACTCACCTGATCCTTGACTTGATCTCCCAATTGCTTCAGTCTTTTCTCAACAGGGGAATTCCCATCAGCTGCCTGAAGTTCTGATTTCTGAAAGTAGCGGAATTCACTGTTTGGGATGATGGCTAGTGTCCACAGCTCAGCCAACAGCTCTTCACACCACTTGCATATGGAAAAGGTATCTTGGACTTCCTGAGTTGGTTGTGTGCCCTTCTGCAGAGTCTCATATTTCAGTTGTAATTCATCATACTTTTTGATAGCATGTCGTAGTCGCTTGTCAAGAGCATCATTCTTCTGTACCACCTCACCACGTTGCCTCCTTGAAAACTCAATCTTATCTTGGTACTCTGTCAATGCTTTCTGCATGCCATCCACCTATTAGAGAATTGGTGCTAAATGACATTCATACTATTACCATTGACTGCAGTTTTATGGCATACAGTGTGTTTGGTGTAGCAAACCTCCACTGCTGTGATTGGCAAGGAGAGGTTTGCTAAGTATTTAAATCCCCAGCAGCCAGCATGTTAACACCTTCAAGCCTAACAATTTGAATGTGCTTTGGGAATAGGACATCATACTACAGGTATAGGCCTGAAAGTGTTAAGATACCTGCATCTTTCATTTTCTGCAATATTCTTCATTTTTTAAATCTTTTTAAAGCCTATTAATCAAGGTTCTCCATAATAGCTTAGTACGTGATTGCCAAAGAAATGGAAGAGAGTCAAAAAGATACTGGTCCCATTTTAATGGCATTTAGAAGGATGGAATTGCAATATTTACATATATTTATTGGAATGAAATGTTCTAATCAGTTTGCAGCTGGTCAAGGAAAGGGTAAAAGAGATTCAGAATTTCCCATGGAAATAATAATTTTCCTTTCAGATCTACTGCCAGCATCTTTTCCATGCTCTCTAGGTTTTCCTTGCTTTTATACATTTCTTTTCTTTTATTTATTTTTCTTTCACTGCAAACCTTTCAAATACTTTAATTAACTCAATGCTGATTTTGCAGCTCTTTAGGCAGTACGTAAGACCACCATGCTTTCCCAGACAAACATGCAGATATATGAAACTCCTCCATTTCTCTAACCTGCACTAGTACAAGTGCAGGGTTTCCAATTTTATAGCAGCTGACTAGCAATGGTTTCGTTCCTCTTCAAATTATTAATTTAACTTTTGCTTAATGGAACTGAGAGCAAATAAGAGAATGTATTCCTTCCTAGTAGGCCTTCATGGCCTTCTAGGCCTAGGTTCTTGAAACTTTTTTCCTCATCTTTTTGATTGACCTTTTTCTTTATTAAGTGCTAAATATACATGGTATAGGTCTATGACCACTCCCATCTCTAGCAATTAAGAGAACCCAACCAGGAAATGGGTGGGATCAAGTCTTGATGGCTTCTATGGGAGTGTCTGGGCAGGCCAAATGTAATAAAAAGGGCAAAGAATCTGGCAGAGAATAAGTTATTTTTTTTTTAAATACACTATGTCCAAATGCATTCTTTATCAGGTCCCTATGTCCACTCAATAATAGATAATGAAGATAATGACAGGAAGAGAACTGCACAGTATAAAAATGCAAAATAAATTGAACACTCGACAAAACCATATTGAAATTTCATAAATATGATCTTAAATGATTTTTCTCATCCCCATTTGTCATAACCTTCTATTTGTCCTTTGATGGCTCCATTTCAGAAAGACATTTCATGGAAGGCATTCATCATGCAACAACAAAATGGATACATAACATGATCAAAATCATACCTAAATGACATAATGTAGCGATTTGTGAACATAGCAATCATCTACATCAGAGCTACATAGAATCAGGAGTCAATAAGAGTTCTCACACCCAATACTTCAACAAATCTTAAAGCAAATTTATAACACTTGTGGCATATGCAATGACATGTCTTGTCATTAACTGTTGATAATCTGAGGAATGGGGCAATTATGCAATTTTGAACATTAATAGAATTGTAAGATTTTGCCATTTTCCTGAATGAATATTGAAGAAAGTTTCCATTTTCGAAAGAGGACTCAGCATTTCTGGTACTAAATTGAAATTTCCTCAACTTTTCTTTTAGAACTGAAAAAATATATATATTGAGCTGAAAAATGTTCATATTGCTATTCAGCTTTCTTTCATTTCATTAATAACATACACCCTGTTTGTAATATGACCTTTTGGGATGTGCCAAGTAAAAAAGGAAATCAGTCATTTGGCCCTTGATTTATGTAAATAGTCTTGCTCCAGCTGCTACACCCATATACAGGGTGTTAAAGTTGTGTCCCATTGCAATATGCCTATAACCTCAGCAAAAAAACAAAAATCAGGAAAACAATTTTTATGTACAATAACAAGGACAGTTAACTGATTTAGAATCACTTAATAGTTTTTAATATAGCTGCCCTTGGCACAGATGACAAGGTTCAGATGAAAGCAACCACTGATTCTTGCAAGTCTTCCTGTGGAATTCGCTCCCATTCTTGATTCAGGGATAGCTTGAGAGAATCCAGTGTTTTGCAGCACACACTTTGCTCACCAAGATGGATCAAATTGAAAAATCTAAATCAGAAGTTTTTCAAGCCACTCGGCGTCAAGGGATGGCATCTGTAATGGTCTGGGCCAGGATTACCGCTTCTGGATGCACTCTGCTCATTTTCGTGCAAGAGAAAATGAAGGTCAACGCTGAAGTATACTGGAAAAGCATCCTGGAAGACTGCCTGGTTCTGTGGGCCACGAATCATTTCAAAGGAGGCAGCTGGGTCTTCCAGCAGGACTCAGCACCAACTCACAAGGTGTGGATGACCCAGGAATGGCAGTGGACAAATGTCCCCAACTTCATTTTAACTTCACAATGGCCCCCTTTCTCCCCCAATGTCAACCCCTTAGATTTTTCAATTTTGTTCATCTTGGAGAGCAAAGTGCATGCAACAAAACACCATTCTTTGGATTCTCTCAAGCTATCCCTGAACCGAGAATGGGAGCAAATTCCACAGGAGGACTTGTGAAAATCAGTAGATGCTTTCATGGGTTGTCTGAACCTTGTCATTCATGCCAAGGGTGGCCATATTGAAAACTATTAAGTGATTCTAAATCAGTTAACTGGCCTTGTTATTGTATAGAAAAATTTTTCCCAATTTTAGTTTTTTTTGCCAAGGTTAGAGACATATTGTGATGGGATACAACTTTCTTAACACCCTGTAATCTACAGGGCATGGCCAGAAGGAAAACTTCAAAATTAAGCAACAAAAATTGCTATTATTTTCACAATTCTTGTACCCTGCATAGGCTGATGTGTTTCCACAAGACCTGTGATTTTTCATGAAAATTCATCATGTCAGAGCAAGGTTATGGGCAACTCTTTAAAATAAGGTGGATAGTTGAAATGGGCAGGGGTCCTGTACCTGCAAAAAATGAAAGGAGGAAAAGCTTTCATGCTACAGGTGCATATGCAGACTCTTGCAATTCTGTAGTTTGGTTGTAGTCTCCTGTCCAACTTCTAATTTCTTTTGAGCTATTGTTCATAGCCCTGCTGTAGCAGGATGAAATTTCATGACATTTCAAATGGTTATTGAGTATATATTCATATTGAAATTTTTGCAAAAATGGCTAGAGGAAGGGTCAAGTCATGAAGGTCCTTTTACTTTGCCATACCCTGTATAGTTGACAGGAGTCAAACAGACTTTTACCAAGTTCATATTGGAACCCTGTTTAGGAGAATTACACTGCCATTAGATCTGAAACTAAACAAGACTCAAACAAGAAACTACATCTTTAAACCATAATTTGACTTTGCACTACTTACCTGAGACTGAATAGCCAGTTTCCAAGTTGCCACCCTATCACGTAGGGGAATGGAGAGATCAACTACAGGCCTTTCTTCTTGGAATTGCATCTTCATCCTGGGAACTTGAATAGTTGACTTGTTCCACAGATCCACCAGGAATGTCTCTATTTCACAAAGCTCTGAGGTCAAAGTTTCAAATGAAGAAACCTTCTCCTCCAATTGGCTGTTTTGAACTTTAAGGTCAGTCAGTAGCAGGTCAAGTGCAATGGCCCTCTGTTCATGAAAATGACATGCTTCTTTAAGTTTCTCTAGGTTTTCAAGCAATTCCTCAATTTTTGTTTTGCGCTCTTCATTCTCAATTCTCTGTTTCTCACTCAATGCTTCAAACTTGGCCTTAAGTTCAAGGCTGTGAACATCTTGGATCCTGATTCCTTCCTCCAACTGCTCCTTGCAAGTTTTCACCTCTACTAGCTCTTTTTTAAGATGGATAATCTCCTCTTCACAACTATTCCATACTTTCTTCACCTCCACCATCTCAACTACAATCAGGGCAAACTTCTGTTCATTTTCCTCCCTTTCCTCTATCATCTTCTTCAACTCATTTTCAAGATGGACTATCTTGTCTTCATATTCTTCCTTTTTTTTCTGATGGAGATCAATGGCAACAAGAAGCTGTGCATTTTCAGACTCAAGGGATGTTACAGTTGAAATGAGACACTCTTCACTCTTCTGTAAAACTTGCACAGCTTGGAGGTCTTTCTCCAAGTCTTGTATCACACTTTCTTTTTTCTCAATGTCTGCTTCTAGCTCTTTCCTACAGGTGTGAAACTCATCAAATTGAACTTGAACATGCTGCATGCTAACCTTGTACTCATCACAGTCTTGCTGGACCTGCAAGAGCTTGCCTTCCAATTCAGCAATTTTCACATGGAGCTGTTGTTCTTCCTCCTGCAGCACTTGTTTCTCCTGGCCACATGCTAAGTGTTCCTCCACTAGAGCCTGTAGTTTGTTTTCTAGGTCTTTCATTGCAACTGCCATCTCATCTCTTTCCCTGCTGACCTCCTGAAGATCTTTAAGATAACTTCTCAGTTCCTGTATTTGTGTCTCTTTCTCTTTGGTTTGGCCCTCCAGAATTATCTTTGATTCTTCCACTTCAACTAGATGCATTTCAAGCTCTGAGAGCTTCTCCTGGTGTAGCTTCTCTAACCCCTCCTGGGTCTCTTGCAGCTCCTTTATCTTGAAGAGGAAATCTACTTCTCTCCCTTCTTGTTCCTGCTTCAGGAGCTCTAGGTGATTCTGGAGTTCCTGCAGTTCCTTGTCTTTTATTGTTATATGCTCCTCCAAGAAATCTTTAGAAGACTGCAGTTCATCCACTTTCTGCTGAAGAGCTCTCAAGATGTCATTGTGATCTTCTGACTGCTGATTATTTTTCTTTTCTAACTCCACTATTTTTTCTTTGAGATGTTGCTCCCTTTCTTCCAAAGTCATCATCTCCTGGCTTTGAGCATTGTGGGTTTCCTCAAGTTCTTTCAATTTTCCTTGCAACAGCTCAATGGTGGCCACCATTTCTTGCTTCTCCTGACTCTCTGGTAGAGCTTCATCTGTGGGAAGAAATCCTTCTTGCTGAACCTGCATGAGCTTGCCTTCCAATTCAGCAATTTTCACATGGAGCTGTTGTTCTTCCTTCTGCAGCACTTGTTTCTCCTGGCCATATGTCAAGTGTTCCTCCACTAGAGCCTGTAGTTTGTTTTCTAGGTCTTTCATTGCAACTGCCATCTCATCTCTTTCTCTGCTGACCTCCTGAAGATCTTCAAGATGACTTCTCAGTTCCTGTATTTGTGTCTCTTTCTCCTTGGTTTGGCCCTCCAGAATTATCTTTGATTCTTCCACTTCAGCAAGATGCATCTCAAGCTCTTTCATCTTGGAGAGAAACTCTACTTCTCTCCCTTCTTGTTTCAGCTTCAGGAGCTCCAGGTCATTCTGGAGTTCCTGCAGTTCCTTGTCTTTTATTGTTATATGCTCCTCCAAGAAGTCTTTAGAAGACTGCAGTTCATCCACTTTCTGCTGAAGAGCTCTCAAGATGTCATTGTGATCTTCTGACTGCTGATTATTTTTCTTTTCTAACTCCACTATTTTTTCCTTGAGATGTTGCTCCCTTTCTTCCAAAGTCATCATCTCCTGGCTTTGAGCATTGTGGGTTTCTTCATGTTCCTTCAATTTTCCTTGCAACAGCTCAATGGTGGCCACCAGTTCTTGCTTCTCTTGACTCTCTGGTAGAGCTTCATCTGTGGGAAGAAATCCTTCTTGCTGAACCTGCATGAGCTTGCCTTCCAATTCAGCAATTTTCACATGGAGCTGTTGTTCTTCCTCCTGCAGCACTAGTTTCTCCTGGCCACATGCCAAGTGTTCCTCCAATAGAGCCTGTAGTTTGTTTACTAGGTCTTTCATTGCAACTGCCATCTCATCTCTTTCCCTGCTGACCTCCTGAAGATCTTCAAGATGACTTCTCAGTTCCTGTATTTGTGTCTCTTTCTCCTTGGTTTGGCCCTCCAGAATTATCTTTGATTCTTCCACTTCAACTAGATGCATTTCAAGCTCTGAGAGCTTCTCCTGGTGTAGCTTCTCTAATTCCTCCTGGGTCTCTTGAAGCTCTTTCATCTTGGAGAGAAACTTTACTTCTCTCCCTTCTTGTTCCTGTTTCAGGAGCTCTAGGTAATTCTGTAGTTCCTGTAGTTCCTTGTCTTTTATTGTTATATGCTCCTCCAAGAAGTCTTTAGAAGACTGCAGTTCATCCACTTTCTGCTGAAGAGCTCTCAAGATATCATTATGATCTTCTGACTGCTGATTATTTTCCTTTTCTAACTCTACTACTTTTTCCCTGAGATGTTGCTCCCTTTCTTCCAAAGCCATCATCTCCTGGCTTTGAGCTGTAAGGGATTCTCTGCATGTGTCCAATTCTTCTTCTAAGAACTCAATGGTTTTAACCAGTTCCTCTTGTCTCTTCCTCTCTTGCTCAAAAACTCCCAGAACATATTTGGCCTCTTGCAATTCAGAATTTAGCATATTGGATTCCTTCTGTAGGAGGTCTTTCTGCATTTGGATTTCTAGCAACTGGGACTCAAGAACTGCTATTCTCTCCGTGGACTGCTTCCACTCTTGATCTAAGTTTTGGGAGTCTTGAAGCTGTACCATCTTCCCTTCCAGAATGAGACTATCCATCTCCTTGTTGTGCTTTCCAACTTGGATTAAATTTATCTTGTTCAACAGTGCTTGAATCTCCTCATCTCTGATCTGGACTTTCTCCTCCAAAGAATCCCTCATAGTCTGGAGATCCTTTAATTCAGTTTGAAGAACAGAATTCCTCTCAGATTCTATACATTCATGAATTCCATGCTGTTCTTGCAATTTACTCTCCAAGGCCATAATGATCCCACAAAGTTGTGACTCTTGCTTCTTCATTTCAACTTGCACACTTTCAAGAGCCAATGTGAGATCACCAACAATACTACCTTTGCAAAGAACATTCACATCAAGAGCTGTGGCTCTTTCATCACTACTTTCTTCTTGAGATGCCAGTTCTTCCTGGAGTCCCCCTGCAATAGATTCCAAATTATAGGAGTTTGCTGTCATATCTTTTTGGAGATCTTCCTTTTGGAGATAATTCAAGGCATTCTCCAGTTCCTGTATTACAATTTCCTTTTTCAACAGCTGGTCCTGCAGTTCTCCCTTTGAGGTTTGCAACTCCATCAGTGCAGCCTCCATTGCTATGAGTTTTTCTGTGCATTCCTGGTGTAGGTGTACAACCATATCACTTTCTACTTCTTTGACATCATGGATGTCTTCTTTTGCCACATTCTGCATTCCACTTTCTAGGTCTGATGCAGCTGCAAATGGTTCATCTTCCTTCTCAAACTCTGACATGTACTCCTTTACATCTGTTTTCTGCTGAAGTTCTTCCAAAAGTTCTGTGTTTTTAATTTGGAGTTCTTGAAAATCATCCATGGCAGCTATCACTGTTGCATCATGCTTCCTCTTCTCCTCAAGCTTCTCTTCCAAGCTCTTGGTGGTGGCCATCATCTCTTCCTGGGAATCTGATCCAGTTTCTTCCTGACTGCTGAGAGTAAAGCATTCTATACTAACTTCCACGTTTCCTATGTCATCCTTTGGGAATAACTTGTCCTCTAGTGCATGAATTTCAACCCTACATTTTTCTGCAGATCCCTCAACATCCCTTCCATTTCCTTGTGTCAAAACTGAATGTTTCTTACAGAGATCATCATATGCATTTTGAAGGTCCTGCATTAGCTTCAGGTCTTCCTTCAGCACTGCCATTTGCTTCAGTAAAGCTTCTTGGTTTGACCTGAGTTCCACCAGTTCCATCTCACGTAAAGCACCCTCTTCCTTTGCATTTTGCAAACTCATCTTAAAAGATGCCACTTCCTGTGCCTGACTTTCAATGTTTTTCTTAAGTCGTTCCACTTCAGCTTCCTTGTCATTAAGAAGAATGGACTGCTCTTCCATTTCCTGCAAAAGTGTTTCTATTTCAACGTTCAGACGTTGGCCATCATGGGTTAAGTCAAAGGTGAAGGACACATCTGATTCATTTCTGATCGCCAAGCGTCTGAACAAGCTTGTGATTGACAACTGTGATTCCTCTGATTTTAAAAGCATTTGGCTCAAATTCATTTCATCTCTGTTCTCCAGACCTTCTCCAAAGCTTTGATGTGCAATTTGTTCATGATTAGCATCATTTTTAGTCTCTATCAAAGAATTTTGATCTGCCTGAAGAGTTTCATCAAGATCCAAAGATGATGATGAAGCAGCAGACAGAAAAGATGCAGATTCAACTGACACTTTGGTATGTTCAATTTCATTAGGAAATATTGGATTATCCTCAGCAGTGACATCTTCATTAAACCTTATGGGTGACAATGCCACATCCACTCTTTGTGCAGCCTGGGAATTATGACTGACTGCCTTTGCCTCTTCAGTGAATCCATCAGCATCAGTACCTGAATCACACTTCATATCACATTTTCCAAAAGTTTGTGATTCACAATCAACCATTTCCTTTTCTGGCACCTGAGTTTCCTGGTTAATTAGGTCTTTCTGTTGCAGAGACTTTGATGTTGTTGCTTCATGATCTTCAAATTTCTCAAGAGCCTGTATTTCCACAACTGCCTCATTTTCTTCAGTTTGAGTCTCTTCATCCATTGTCTTGCTATTTTGTTGTTGCATAGTCTGTGTCATGGCATCAATATGAAAGACACCTAGTGCATTGAGAGTTTGAATCTCTTTGGATTCACACCAATTCCTGACACTGCCTTGGATGGGTGATATTGCCACATCAAATGTCTTGAGGGCTTTATGCACTAGACCCTCAACTTCTTCAGTCTGAGTCTCAGAATCAAATCCAGTTCTCTTGCATGGATGATTCTCTTCTGATGATTTTCCTACCTCTTGAGTGAACTGCTGATGATCAACCTTGATAGGTGACACAAATACATCAACTTTCTGAGATGTATACATAGCTGTAGCATTTTCCCCTTGACATGATCCCCATGTCTGAGAGCTGGCATCCAAAATGAGCAGAGGAGGTTTACTGGCCTGTGCTTCCTTCATCATCTCTTGAGCTTGTGTTAGCTCCTCTTGTAGAGATGAGATCTTCGCTTCCAACTTGTGCCTCAATTCCCTCTCAGAGGAGAGCTGCATGAGCATTCCTTCCATGGCAAGTTTCTGAGATTCACATTCTGCCTTGACTTCCTTCAGCAAATGACTCCTCTCTTCTGCTTCATCTTCAATATCCTCAACTTGGACATCATGAAGTACTGTCAGCTCCTGCTGAATTGATTCCCATTCCTCCTGGAAACATAAGGAACAGAACCACAATGTAATAGCACAGTGTCACATGCCAAAATGATGGTACCCACACTGCAAATACAATGAAAACTCGTTAACTTGAACTTTTAGGGACCGGGCAAATTGTTTCGAGTTATCAGGCACCCCCTCCCCCAAAAAAAAACTCACGTTAAGGGACATAGGGGGACAAAATGGCTTGGAGTGAGAGCGATAGATTGACAGAGTGAATGTTGGAGGCTTTTTTTTTAATAGCCGAAACTTTTCGGTTTTAATCCTCTCTACAGGTGTCTGTGCGGGAGGAGGGAGTAGCAGAAAAAAAAAAGAAACAAAAGAGCATCCTTCTGAACAGGTTTCTTGTCATTTATTCTATTCAAAAATCGAAAAGTCTCACGAGAAGAATTTTCCCCCCCTTCTCACCCTGAATTCAAGTTAACAGTGAGAAAACCATTATAGGGAGTGAAAATTTCATTCGAGATAAGCGAATTTGAGTTAAACAGAGCTTTTAACATGGTGTCCTATGGGGTTCCGCCGGGACCAAGCATTGAACTTCGAGATAAGCTGAATTTTGACTTATCAGGATTTGAGTTAATGAGTTTTCACTGTACTGTCATTTTTTCATATCACATTTAAAAAAATCTTCAGTTTCAGTTTCATGTTTTACCAGTGATAGTTTTGGTAGAAAAAAATTCACCACTCAGTCTTGTTAAAAACTGCAAACTATTTCAATTTTATTAATATTTATGGAAGTTTTACTTATTAATAAAAACTTTCAGCAATCACTTCATGCTTTAATTTAGGCTTAGCAAAATCAGAAACCATAGCTTTAAATGAGTATAAGCTATTGGATCCATGAAGAAAAAAGGTCATCTTAATCTTTTACATTTTTTTGGTTACAGAAGTACCAAGAGAAGCATCTGTGGATCTAGAACATCAACAACAAATAAGAAATATTATATTAAAAAGACATATATTTGTAGGTAGAAAATACAGGGTGTCCATAATTATCTGAAAATTTTTGTGATTTCAGTGTCAAAACTACAAATACAAGAACATTTCAACTTAGTACACTTTCAAATCCTTATAAAATTCTTATTTTCCTTCCAATATTTCTGAGACAAAGTCTATTAAAAAGCACCACTCTAAAAGTTTGTTAACATTGCCTTTTTCTTTTTAGATTAGTTGAAGAATATAAGTAGACTAATTCCCTCATTCTTGTGCTGCAACTAACTTATCTCTTTGCAGTGGGTGATCATATATTCTATGAATACAGACCTCATGATGATATTGATATTTTTGACAGCACATTTTGTTACAGATCATCAGAAAATAATTGCAACTCCTGTAACTTTAGAGCCAGAAAGCTGAAATTTGGCACACAAATCCCAATTGAGTCACTCTATACTCCTACTCAATATCATCAGAATAGCAAGTCAACAATCATCTTAAGAGCTCATCAAAGATGACAGCTATAGAATGACAGTCTTGTCCACCGATGTGTTAAGGAATTGAGAATATTTGGTTCCTGCTGAGCTTTCCTTGTGCACTTTATGTTCCAATTCCCAAAGTAGAGTGGTGATAATCATAATCATGGAAACTTATTTGATATTATTATGCACATTCTATGAAAATGTTGTTCATTCCTTCTTGATGATATGAAGTTCATTAAACTAGTGCCCTCGCTGGGAAAAATGAGATCCTTTCGTTACGATCAAAACTTCAATGCATCCCAATATCTTCAAACACTGGTGCCTATGAACATTAGATCAGGTGATGTCAAGGAATTCAGCATAACCAGCTTTTTGATATAACCACGTTCGTTTTACTGGAAGCCAAATGTTCTTCAATACTTCCAAATCTGCTCTGAAAAATGACATTCATGAAATATCCTGATGGGTTGTGCAAAGCAAGGCAGGCACAAACCATTTTGAAGTCTGAAGCAACATATTGAAATGCTTGCCAGAATCTGGTCACTTGAGTCAAAGAGTATGAACCTTGATATCAATATGAAAAAAGTACTTACAGGCTTTCCACTGTTAACACCAGAATCCAGGGAAGTATTCTTTGAGGGAATGTTCTTCTTTCCCTGTAAGGAGTTCACTTGCACCATGAGTTCTGCCACCTGAAGATAATGAAAAGAAAACCCCTCCATAGTTCTACCTTCAAAGGTAATAATAGCAGCACTGATCTCTCACTACTCTTAAGACTACCTGATTATGGAGTTGTTCATTCTCTTCCATTAACTCCTCATAAAAAATAAACTCCTTTGTATCAAAGGCTTCCAACTTGAGTGTCTTTATGGTTTCCCTTGCTTGCGCAAGACGTTTCCTAAGTTCTGCCCTTGGAGTTGCATGGACTGGTGTTGGTGTAGCAAATACATGAGGTGCTTGCTTCTTCCTGAGAAAATAATGATCAGATCATGATCAGTTGGATAAGTGAAAATGTATGCCTGCCTCATTACTCATTTCTAAAGAGTTTTCAAAATATGGGACAGGTTACAAAAATCTATGCAGCACTTGAGTGACAATGTTAATAAATATCTCTGTTAGGGAAGTGCAATTCTTCCAACAACTTGTTGTCGATTTGGGGTTATACCAAAAGTTTCCAGATTTATGGAGTTAAATTTAAATTTATGGCAGATTGTCCCAAAACTGGCAAGTTTTGTGCCACAGAATATCATCAATCTTTAATTCTTTAACTGTCAAGTTTTAATGTGGAATTTTTATCAGGTTTTTATTTTTTTGCCATTTTTTCCCAGAATAGACATTTTCATTTCATTTCAAACATTTTCAATATGATGTTCATAAAACTGCTATATTTTGATTCTTACTGACAAAACTGACACAATTTTCCAGGAATAAATGGTGTGTATGAGAACAAAGCACGATGGCATTCATCGAAGTATACCCTGATGTTGACAGTCAAAGGGTTATGATAATCATCAGCATAGACAATTCACTTTCTCCACCATGATGGTAATTCAAAGATACCAGTTATGTAACAGGTGGTCAGATGGGTCCTCTGCCTTGTTGCAGCTTTTTTTGCCTCATTCTCCTCAGTGAAATTCATTCTTTGAAGGTGGTCTCTCATGAGTCCAAACAGGTGGAAGTCAGATGAAGCTATACCTGAACTTTAGGGAGGATGTGGCACAATTTATCACCCTCATCACTGTAAGCATTGTTGTGACAAAAGAGTCTGGCAATATTGTGAAACAACAGCACTTGGTTTACTGGAAGATGCATTTTCTTTTCTTGAAGCACAGTGTTAAGTTTCATTCATGTGCACAATAATGCATAGTTTACAGTTGCACTTTTCTGTAGAAAATCAATTCAAATATTACAAAGGATCATGCTTGTCCCAGAAAAGAGTCATCACCACTTCCTTGGTGGATCTTTCTAATTTGAATTTCTTTGATCTGTATGGGAAGGAATAGCTCCATCATTATGACATTCCCTTACTTCCAGGCATGTAATGAGGAAGCCAGCTGGGTAGCCAGATGATAAGGTGAAAGAGGATGCAAATGCATGGCAAAGGACCTATCCAGCCACTTTTTACAGGACTGGTGTCTTTAAATTTTCTTTCACAGTGACAAGAGTGCATTAAAAAAGTTGACGTTTTATTTGGAAGATGAATAATACTCTATAGTACAAGGCCTGAGAGTTGCAGGACAATCTGGCAGTAACTTTCAATTCATAAATCTTGAAACTTTTGGTACAATTAGATTATTGAAGCTAATTGATATTTCCAATGTCAACTGAAAACATGAAAAAAATAACAACTAATAACCATTTTCTATTCTTCAATGATACACCCATCAAATTGGTAAAGAATGCAGTTGCAAATTTAAAATCAAGTTGGCTCAAGTTTCTCTGAAATTGTGCATTGTCTGCTTGAGATATATGGGTCAATGATTAAGATGAAGATAGTTTTGAGTCCACACTCTGAAATGACAATTCTTTCAGTGGGTTGCTACCTGGAACCACTTGCAAGATTTGCTTCTAGTGGAGTACCTGAAGAAAATTGATGACATAGTTTATGCAAGTGACCCACCCCTATTTGCATAACATCATTCTCACACACATATTTTAGAAAACATATGCTACCTTTCCTGAGAACCCCATTCCCATTTCATGAACAGCTATCAAGATTGTAATGCCTAACAAATAAACTTCAGCTTTTGAACAGGACATCTCTTCTGCCAAAGGTGGAAAAAACTAGGGATGGTACCCATAAGTTGATGAGATGCTTGAATGGTCCTTACTCTGACAGAAAGTCAGTAAGACAGAAATCCAGTTTGTAAGTCTTGAATGAGCTCACAAAATCATACAATTTGAAGTTGTTAAGGTGGCCAGCATAGCTGCTAACCTAGCCTGAGAATCTGGGACATTTACTCCTAAAATGCATGTGGGCAATGAATATAGTATCCTCAAACAAATCCAGAGAAACATGAGCCAACTCAGTATGAAATATGGTGAGAGAACGCTTTATCAAATTGAAAGATGAATGCCCCAACAAAAGTTCAACAACAATATTAGAGTTTGAAGGCCTTGCTGGGTGAGCTTGAAAAACCAAAGAGTGAGATTCTTGTTCAAATAAAAACTGAAAAAGGGAAAATAATGTGAAACTTTCATCTTCAGAGTCTGTGTAATATAGCTCACAGTCCCAGCATATAAATGAATATAAGTATGACAGGCATTGTCATTAGTTTTACCAAGCATCAATAGCCCACAAAGAACTTGACAATGATCTTATATGTTGAGAAAAGAGCTGTCATGTCATCTTCATGAATTTACTGTGATGAGTCACACAAATGGTACAAATGAAGGTCATGAGAGGTAGATGGGTCCAAATCTGAGCAATCAAGAAAGGGGATTGATTCACACTTTGACCTGAGGTCAGATTTTCAGATTTGGGCCAACTCTTGATATCAAGCCTAGAAAGCAAAAAGCTGAATTTGCTTAGCATTCCTTGGTCTAACATTGCTAACATTGCTCTGCTCATTCACTTTACCTAGTGGTATTCCCCTGCTCCCATCATAGTAAATCTACCTTTCTACATTCCTTATTAAATCTCAGCTTGACACTGTATGAAGGGATGAAGAGCTTGAGGGTATTGAACTGGTATATTAACTGATAAATAAACTGGTCATGTTAAGCTGTAACTAATTCATTTTGGGTTTTCCTTGACTCAACCTTGCATCCTTTTTCTGAAGCTTGAAAACAACCAATCCATTTTAGCAGAGCTAGTAGGTATGCAGAACCAACATGAAATCCACAAATAAGCAGTTTTGTTCTCCATCACCCTAGATTAAAGTTTCTGATGCTTCTACACTTCAAGACAGGTCAGGTGGGAGGTTAGGATAGCATGCATCTGCTTCCTTTCTGGCTGATGGACATATTATGAAGCATTCACTGGTAAAAATGTTTAGTCAGCACTACCATTTAAAGAAGGACCCGTCCATACAGTGCCGGCAGAAAGTTTATGGCAATCCATTTTTGGAGATGTTTTATGATTAGTTGTATGATTAAAATGCCTACGTTGCAATTATATGCAATGTAAACGTGTCAAACATTTGTACAAACACATCATTGTTCATAAATTCGCTATTCTGCCAAAGCTATTATCTGTAGCTACTGAAATATGCAAGTAGGAGTATTTCCAAAATATGATAATTTAACCTAGCGGAGGAAAAACATGCAAATGTTAGCAAGCATGAGTCAAAATACAGAGCAGTTTCTCAATGTTGATGACAATTTATTCACGAGCACACAGGAAGCAATGAATATCAGTACTTTGCTGGATATCCATGATTCCTCATCACTGCCGAGATTCTCCTAGGCATTGACTCGATGAGCCTAAACGTGTCAAACATTTGTACAAACACATCATTGTTCATAAATTCGCTATTCTGCCAAAGCTATTATCTGTAGCTACTGAAATATGCAAGTAGGAGTATTTCCAAATTATGATAATTTAACCTAGCGGAGGAAAAACATGCAAATGTTAGCAAGCATGAGTCAAAATACAGAGCAGTTTCTCAATGTTGATGACAATGTATTCACGAGCACACAGGAAGCAATGAATATCAGCACTTTGCTGGATATCCATGATTCCTCATCACTGCCGAGATTCTCCTAGGCATTGATTCGATGAGCCTGAGGCACTCCTCAGAAATGACTTCATTGCACCAAGCATGCATGATCTGCTGTTTTAAGTCATGCAAACTGCTAGGGTTGCACCGTGCCACTCTGCCGAGATTCTCCTAGGCATTGACTCGATGAGCCTGAGGCACTCCTCAGAAGTGACTTCATTGCACCAAGCATGCATGATCTGCTGTTTTAAGTCATGCAAACTGCTAGGGTTGCACCGTGCCACCCGTCTCTTCATCATGTTCCACAAATTTTCTATCGGATTCAGATCTGGACTGTTTCCAGGCCAGTCCAGCACCTGAACCCCTTGGTCTTGGAACCATTTCATGGTATGTCGGGATGTGTGCGTCCCGCGGAACAGAACAAGAAAGATGCTGTTTGGCACCTGCACCATCATAGTGGGCAGCTTTTCACCTAAAATGTATGTGTAAAGCTGAGAGTTCATCCTTTGGTTAGAATTTAGGAATGACAGCATACCATGCCCAAGATGGCTGAAACAGCCCCATACCATAACAGAGGGAGGATGCTTTACTGTCTTCTTGGTATACCGTAGATCAAGTGGGGATGCACCTGGAGGCAATCTGACATGTTGATGGGTGTTGGTGAGGAGTGTGAAAGTGGACTCATCACTGAAAATATCGCGCTTCCACTCATTAGCAGTCCACGATTGATATTGCCTGCACCATGAGAGTCGCTTTAGTCGAGCTGCTTTTGAAATCAGCGGCTTCATGCCTGGTTTTCGAGCCCTCATGTTGAGCTCTGCTGAGAGCCTTGAAAGAATGGTTCTTGGAGCAACGTGGTCAAGTCTTGGTGCCAGTGCAGCCTTGATCTCAAGTGATGTAATAAAAGGATTCTTCTTGATTTCACGGGCAATCATTTTATCATCACGTATTGTTGTTTTTCTTGGTCGGCCAGAACTTGGTGCAACTGCTGTTGAACCAGTCTCTCGGTGCTTCTTGATAATGAGACTCACTGCCTGCTGGGATACACCACATTCTCTTGCAATCTCTTGCTGGGTCATTGAGGTGTGGCCTAAAAAAGTGATGATTTTCACCTTGATGGCCTCTGTCAATTGTTTTGCCTTGCCCATCACTTCTTGTGCATAAAAAATGCAGCAACTACACATACAGTAACCCTGCGGATGCTTTGCAGATATGTTGATGATATTTCCTTGCTAATGGTTGGTTCGATCCTATGCACTTTATGGTTCAGTACACATGCTGACTTCTTTAGGCATAGAGGCATACCAACACAAGATGTCTTGAGCTTAACCTACCACACAAACACGCACACACGCGCGCTTAGCATACTCCTTGGCAAACCCACGTCTGCAGCTATGACTAATCAATTAGCCAGCATGATATATTTACCCTGGGAAGCAGCATTTTATCGCAATTGTGATTGAAGCTGTGAATGGACAATTACCATAAACTTTCTGCCGGCACTGTATATTACTGTTAATGTAATAAAAATATTAGTTTCTACTTCATTCCATTATGTACCGTAACGCTGACAACGCTGAAAAGGATGCAGACGTGAACGAGCTTTCGGCCGATCGAAGCGGAAATGGATGCGTCGAGATCCGCTGGCTCGGCGATCGCGAGATCCGCTGGCTCGGCGACCGCGAGACCCGCCGGCTCGGCGTGAAAACGCGATTTTATGAGGAAAATTCGCCCTGCAGTGCGCATAATAAATGGAATGGCAGGATTTTGCAATTTTGTTACATTCAGAATGTACAACATTTTAAATAGATAACGTTGAATGTACAACATTTAATGCGTGACATTTTCAACGTGCAATATTTAGCATTTGAAACTATATGTAACATAATATATATGTAACACTTATGGCCTCTGTCAATTGTTTTGCCTTGCCCATCACTTCTTGTGCATAAAAAATGCAGCAACCACACCTACAGTAACCCTGCGGATGCTGTGCAGATATGTTGATATTTCCTTGCTAATGGTTGGTTCGATACTATGCACTTTATGGTTCAGTACACATGCTGACTTGTTTAGGCATAGAGGCATACCAACACAAGATGTCTTGAGCTTAACCTACCACACAAAAACGCACACACACGCGCGCTTAGCATACTCCTTGGCAAACCCACGTCTGTAGCTATGAATAATCAATTAGCCAGCATGATATATGTATGTTGATATTTCCTTGCTAATGGTTGGTTCGATACTATGCACTTTATGGTTCAGTACACATGCTGACTTGTTTAGGCAAAGAGACATACCAACACAAGATGTCTTGAGCTTAACCTACCACACAAACGCGCACACACACGCGCGCTTAGCATTCTCCTTGGCAAACCCACGTCTGTAGCTATGAATAATCAATTAGCCAGCATGATATATGTACCCTTGGAAGCAGCATTTTATCGCAATTGTGATTGAAGCTATGAATGGACAATTACCATAAACTTTCTGCCGGCACTGTAGAGTTGGATATGACATCCAAGGTAATGTACTTCATGCAGAAAATGTACTCAACAATATTAAACATGATGAATCAACATATAAAGGCAGCAACATTTAGCCTTAGCCTGTGACTGAAAATTCCATAAGTCAATGCCTTGCACACTCTCTTTAGCTTGAGGTTTATTTGTGAGCAAAGAAAATGCTGAACATGGGAGGTTTTATGAAACATAAGGTAAAGTTACTTGCTGTAGTGGTCACACTTTAGTGATGCAAGGGAACTCATCAATAATGCATTATGTTCATTCCATATATGAAATGAAAGCTAGAAATTAGTGCAAGTCACCCTATGATTACAGCAAAAGTTAAGGAAAGCAAGACCATTTTGTGACCAGGTTGGATGTGACTTGTTCTGATATTTTAACATTGTAGTTTCATGAATGGTCCATGTTTTCCTGATAAATATGATCACTTAACAAATGTTCTTTGATGAAATTACATGCATCTATTCCAAAGTACATTACTTCTCACTTATCCTGTATTTCCAGCTGCGTATTTAAACTTTGACTATTTTGACATTTTTCAAGGGCCAAATCCTTTCATTGAGGAAAAAAAAGACAAAGCTAAGAAAAGAAGAAATATCTTCCACTGCATTCTCAATCTAATTATGGGAATTAGCATCATGAAGTGAGAATATAATAATAGAATATTTTGGCAATACATAATTCTCAGAGTAATTTTTTGAGAAAAATTAAATTGTTTTCCATTTTTTCCATTTTCCTTGTTGTTTTTCAGTTTTTATCTGTGGAATATATAGACAGGGTTATTGCTGGGAAAATTTCAAACCCTTGCCTGCAGAAAACTTTGTCTAAATGTCTCAATATCCAGCAATTTTTCAGGAGACCCAATTAGAGTTATGGTTTTTTTTTCCAATATTAAAACTCATTTAAAAAAATGCTAGATTTGAGTGCAACCATGAGGTATTCAATATCACTTATGGAGGATAATCTCAATTTTTGAGGCACAAAATCAAACCAGATTTGTTAAGATTAACCCCTTAACAGGGGGGGAACCACCTTTTGGTGTTGAAATGTCTGCTCTAACACACTGTGTTCATTGCTTTTAGGCATCCCTGCATTTAGATAGCCTGCAAATTTCTGAGTGGATGCTGAAAGGTGCATAGATTCTCAGTATATTTAGAGATATTCCACTAGCAAGTGCATACAGCAGAAAAAAAAAAACCTTGGTTAAGGGGTTAATAATGAAATATTTTAAATTCTGTGATATATTTAAAAATAAGTTTTACACCATCAATTTACAATTGAACCCTGCTGAAGCTGCTGAATAATCACTCTTATGGTAGATTGAAAAAGGAAAATGTATGCTCCTTACAGAGGTGTATGGGAAATTGACATGGAAGGGAAGGGGGAAGTTTGGATCCCAATGTCCTCCATAGGCTGCCTGGAGTCAGTGGAAACCTTCTTCTTCCTTACAGTCACAAAGTCCCCACATATCTCAGCTGACTCTTCAGAACCTTCTTCAGACTCTTCTTCCACTGTCTCCAAAAATCCTGTCACAAATAGAGTTTTCATGCTCATCCACATTGTTTTGCACCTCCACTACTTATGTAAATAAATAGAAACATTTAAAAAATGTCTCCCCTTCAGATGAAAGGAATCTAGATTGTTGAATGTATCACATGCTAGTATATAGTAACTGAACTGGCTGGAGCTTAAAAAACATGCCAAGATTTTTGTGCTTATTCCTCAACTTCCAGTTGAGACACAGACTTACAAATCATACCAAGTCTTCAATCTATTTTCTTCTTGTCTCCAAGAAAACCACACATTTCTAGCTATCAGAGTACACCCACAGCAGCTGTTCCAACTAAGTCACTCAAAATTTCTCATATCACACCTCATCTTATCTGAAAAGTTTGGTGAAATGTGCCCTCCTTAGGCACTGCTTAGGACAAGTACTCATACTTTACATTAAAAGATGGACTTGCTGATTTCCTCCATGGTGATCTCATTCCAGGTCTATCAAATGGTAGCACTCTGTTCCACAGAAGAGTGATCCATCTTGAATCGTTTGACTACCAGCTAGGCTTTTAGGACCAAGAAAGATGTCAGCTCGACATTAGAACACACTTGTGCAGCAGCTCCTCCTGAACTGTGTGTGACATGAAAAATTTTGAAGTGCCTTGGTCAAATAGTTGCTGCTATTCAAATAGTACTATGATAGTTAGAAATTTATAGTCTTTATGGGTCAAGAGGAAAGATAGATCTATATATCGTATCATTTTTAGACCTCTGCCTCATCTGGAAGCTGAAAAATAAAAACACAAAAAACTTGTGCATTTTTTTTATGACACCTGGTGCTAATAAGTCTAAGTTCAACTTAAAATATGAAATTGGTATATCACAAAGACATGAAATGATGAACTTGGCATTTTTACTATTGGTTTTTCATGCATACCAATCTAAGAAAGGGCAGCTGTTGGAGTTGTGATCAGCCCTAAAGCAACCCAAGTATACCACTTAATTTGTGGTCAAAATATGATGCACCAAGATGGAAGTCATAATGCTGAAACCAAGTTTATTACATTTCTTCTAATGGAGTTGTGATTGTTGATCTGTAAACTGACACTGGTACAATAAAAATGCATAGTTTCATATAATGGTGGCCAGAGACTCAGGCCTGTCTCACACATAGGAACTAGCTCCTTGTGTTGGGAAGTCACCTATGGATTCAGTACTGTATTCTTGCTTTGGGTCTAATATATGGTTGGAGTAGGCAGTGATATTCTGCCTCCAGATTTTCTTGTGAATCATACCAAGCTTTTTTTTATATTGTGGCACTAATAGTTTTGTGAGACACCTGGAGTTCCCAGGAAGCATCAAAATTAGACACATTAATCCATTCTCTGGTATAGGTCCACTTTGAATGAGAACATCAATTGAGTCAATGCCCACATCATTCATGTGAACATTGTTCCTATTGTTAATTCGAGAGAAACAAAGATGGAAATCCTAATACAGGGGTACAACAGACAGAAATTAAGAGAAGAAACCAAGTAATTTGCATCATCTGTCTGCACAAGCTCCTGTCAGTTGAAACTTTTGTCATGATTCTTCAGCCATTTATTTCTTGACCTGCAAAACTTTATTCAATTGACAAGCTGACAGACTAAAATTCTTATTCAATCTTGGATTATCAAGTAAGATCCTTTTTGCATTTCTCTAGAGTTGCACCATTGTAAATTAATCAAGAATGGAATATGAATTGACTCGTTCTTGTACTTGCCAGACAAAGGAGGAAACTTGACAGGCAAGAAAATCCCCATGAAGAGCTTCAGCTCATTAGGAGGCAAGTTTGCTCTCTTTTCCAACATACCATGCCAACTCAACTCCTTTGGTGAATTGCAGGTTAGCATCATTGCAGTAATGCCAGAGAATCACTCAGGTATATTCATGCATTGCGACCCTATGCTCCGATGTGAAAACCTTAGTTACTGGAACTCTTCACTTTACAACTCTTAACACCATTATCCAGTTGCTTACCCACACTGTATCTATTTCATCAGCACATCATGCATGGAATACAATTGATAATGTTCCCATGAAAAATGACAGGTACTTATGAACTTATATTATAGCATTCA